AACTTATCCAAGTGCAGAGAAAACAAAAACACAATGACAAATTCTACACCTTACTCCCAATCCAAACAACAGCATACAACATAAGCTTGCAAAATAAAAATGGCAGTCACTCCCTATGCACCTGACACACACACAGAGATCATACACAGAGATCAAAGTGTCAAAGTCCGAGGGCCGCGAGAAGACATTAACCAAAAACCAGGCGAGAGATCGAAACCGAATAGCAAGTAAACCCAAGTGAAAGTACAGACAAGGGCTAAGTGAAAATCAGAAATCCAGTAAAACAAAACAAATCATTCACAGTAATAGTAATATCCATCAAAGAAAAGCAAACCAACAACAATAATCAATAGGTGAGCAGAGCTCCCGAGATGCGAACAGAGATTTGTGGGCGGAGTCTGCATGTGGAGGCGGCGCGAACGTCAAATCGAGAGCTTATCGCTGTACTTATCTGGACAGGGATGTTAAAAGAAGTTAACATTAGTTTCAAAACATTTCACAACACATTTAAGAAATATTAAAACACTGTTTTAACCCATTCACTAAATTTGAAGAGTTAAATTGCTCGCCCGGAGAAACTAAAGTGCTGACTTACTATTAACAATAACTTAGATGGACCGAATAACGGCTCTGACCGTAACGTATCTGACCTAAAGCCGGTCTGCTCACTCACAGGTGGATTTGGCCCGGAATCATCACAGAGCAGATCTTGCCAATTAACCCAGCTTCTTGTCTTTAGACTACAGCAAGAAACACAACACAAGGGCCGTTGTGGACAATGTGAATTCCACACACATAGAGACCCGAGGTGGGATTCACATCCCCTACCTGTGTGAGATAACAGTGCTACCCTAAGCCACCACAGCAGCTCTTTAGTGTTATATAATATCTGATAATAGAATGTTTATGTAATTCACCTTCATGTTGATCATATGTCATTTGATTGGTTAGATTTAGACATGTATAGAATTTTGTATTTTGTTGAAAGCGGTCTGTTTATATTTAAATTTCCCTTTTCAGTAGCAACTATGTCAGTTGCATTCAGCAGTGATGGTGCTCAGACCATCCAGAAAAGCCTCGCTGTCGACGTGGTGGTCAGGGAGACCAAGGCAAAGAGCCTTGAAGAAAGCTATCAGATTAAGGAGACCTGTGATTTCATCCGGGAGAACAATTTCCATAAAGTGAGTCTGGACTACAGAAGCCTTAGGATAACTTTTTTGCCAGCCACTTTCACAATCGAGGGATATGCAATTGTTAGCAAAACTCCATTTGACTGCAATGTATTCTATTTGACTGTACTGTGTTGTTTTTAAGGAGCCGGTAATTAGTACTCATCTAAAATCTATTGAAAACCTATGGTCTGATATCAATCAGCAGTGGAGCCAATTCTAGTTATATGAACTACATTCTAGTTCTAATATTGGAGAAATAAAGGACTTTCCAGTCACCAGTGGAGCAAACTTTCAGTAGAAACGTGCGGTAGGCTAAGGGGTACTCACTAGAAGTGTTTAGAAGCAGTCAAACTCTTCCAACAGCTGTGCAGCCCCTGGTTCTTGGACGCCGGTCACTCATATGCTGATATTCATTCATATAAACATTATTTTTTCTGTGTATTCTTCACACATTCTTCACTGTAACTGCATTTTATGTGCAAAGACTTTAGTTGAAATGTAAAGTTTTTTAACATATGTGGTGTTGTTTCTTAGGTAGCACTGCAGTTCCCAGACAATTTGTTAGTGGATTCCATTAAAATAGCATCCAGACTTCAGGAAACTACTGGTGCAAAGCTATATATTCTTGGAGACACTTCCTATGGCAGGTAAACATGGTATATATTATATGTTATATTGAAATGTAATGTCAGAATGGATAGGTGTATGGATGGATGTATACTTTCTTTCATTCTCAATTAATCAGTCAGTCACTCAATCCAGGAAATTCAGGCATTACAGCAGGAACAGACAACGGGACACAAACAGTCACTGGTATACTTATACCAATTTGAAAATAAAAAATAGAAATTGGTAATTAAAATAAAAAAGTAGAAAGTAAATCTTACTGTGTATACAGAATGATAATTCTGTAAATATGCAAAAAACTGTAATGTGCAAAGAGTCCTGTGTAATAATAAGAAACCATAAATGCAGAATGGATGTGTACGGACCACAACAATGCAAAATTTGTAGTACAGGTTCCCTGTGCAATGAGCAATAAATAATTAAATGGTTGGATAAAAGAAGGGAACATGAGTATTGTTGCAGTCTGCGGGCTGGTGACTGGCTGACTGGCTCAGCCTAAGGCCCAGCTATATGCCCTGATGGCAGCCAGCAAGCGTGAATAAACTCAGATACACACACACTGGGGAGAAATACTGCCTTAAAGGAGACAAAAGTTTATACAGGCAATAGAGACAGAACAAGTCATGCTCTGAAAACTATGAGAATTAAAGTGTCACTTCTTTTGGTTCGACAGCTTGTAAAAACTTAATACAAAACAGACCTAAATAAATAAATAAACAGTATTCATATGAACCTTTACTCTCATATCTGCCTATGTAATATTTCCATTCAGTTCATTTTTGAAACCAGTGGAAACGCAGACAGGTTCTCAAAAGGCACCAAGCGAGAACCAGCCCAGTAACGGCTACGTGTTGGTGGAAACGTGGTATTAGAGCAGTGGCTTTCAACCAATTTAATCTCAGGACCCATATTATTCCTTGGTCATTAAATCGTGACCCAAATTCACGACGGAAGTCATAACCCACCAGTTGAGAAACACTGTCTTAGAGTTTATAGGAAGGATGGAGTTAATATACTGAGTGGTGTATGTGTTTTTGCAGCTGCTGTGTGGACGAGGTTGCCGCAGAGCATGCTGGGGCTCAGTGCATTGTGCATTACGGACGGGCCTGTCTCAGTCCGTCGCGAAGGCTGCCCCTCATGTATGTGTTTGGAAAGAGGCCCATTGACCTATCCAAATGTGCCACCGCTTTCCAAGAGCTTTACCCTGACCATCAAAGCCACGTGGTTGTCCTCTATGATGTCGTCTATTCTCACATCATAGGTAAAGCATATAATAAAGATAGATGAGTGTTAGCTGTACAATTCATTCACTAAATTTAACCCATTTCATTTAATTTAACCACTTTAGTGTGTGTCTCATAATCTGGTCTGGTAATTGTTACTTTTATTTAACTTTTTATTTTTATGTTTATCTTCAGATGATCTTTTGAAGCTCCTGCAGCCTGAATATGTAAATGTGATCACTTCAGTCCTAAATGTGGATGGTGTGGTCTGCAAAAGTTATGGACAGATACTTCAACAAGCCAAAGACACTGGACACACCGAAGCTGAATTAGCCCTATACGGTGACAGGCTTGTTCATAAATATGGCCGACAGTTTATCCTAAAGGAAGGATGCAGTATTGAGGACTACAGCATTTTTTATGTGGGGCAAGAGGGTGTCACCCTAACAAACTTTATGATGACCTGGAACAAGTGCTCTTTCTGCTCATTTGACCCCGAGACAATGGTAGGGAGGTTTGAGACAATCAACATTAACAGGGCTTTGATGAAGCGATACTACCTGATTGAAAAAGCAAAGGACGCCAGCATTGTAGGCATTCTGGTTGGCACGCTTGGTGTGGCTAACTACCTAAGTATTATTGACCAGCTGAAAAAAATAATTCACAAAGCTGGTAAGAAGAGCTACCTGTTTGCCATGGGCAAACTGAATGTTGCTAAGCTGGCAAACTTCCTGGAGATTGACATATTTGTGCTAGTTGCTTGCCCAGAGAACTCCTTGTTGGATTCCAGCGAATTCTATCGCCCAGTGGTGACACCCTTCGAAATGGAGATTGCCTGCAACAACCAGAGAGAGTGGACAGGGGATTACATAATCGACTTTCAGGATCTGTTGCCTGGTAAGTAAGGTTAGGTCTCTGTGTCTGTGATCGCAAGGTCACTGGTTTGAATCCCTTGCTTGGCAGAGTAATCACATTTGTGTCGGGCCCTTGTGCAAGGCCCTTAACCCCCCCCCTAAAAAATGCTCCAGGGATGCAAGATAGATCACAGACCCTGAGCTCAGACCTCAGGCTTCACTCTCACCTCTGTATATGTTCACACTCCTGGGCAAAAAAATTAACCAAACAAATTTAATGCAACATAAAGCTTTGGCACGTTTTTTTTTTTTTTTTACCCAGGAGTTTAAGTTATTAAAGCGGAGTTTGATGGGATGTGCAAAAAAACACATTCCTGTTTCCTGTTCTTATACTTATGAAAGTCCATTTCCTCCACATTGATAAAACAAAGTTTGCTTAATTTCTCAGGATTCCAACTTTCTTGCAATTATGGCTTTTTCTCGTCAGTGTCACCTCCTCCGCAGGATACCGTTTAGGAATATATCCCAAAAATGCGTTACTCACATAATGTCATCCACTGGCAGGTTAATTTGGATTTCACGTTAATTTGGAAAGCAGTAAAACACGGTGGCAATAGCACTGCCTTCGTTGCTTTGGTTTGAGTTATTCAGTTATTCTTAAGGTGGCAGTGTTTGCCCGTGACTTCGCTCCTGTCTGTTTCAGTACGTTCATTGCAACCATTAAAGAGGGAGCAGAAGTGATGGCTCCAGCTACTTTTAGTTGTTAGAAAAGAACTCAGAATTACAAGAAATAAAGTTTGAATTGCATGAAAGAAAGTCGGAATTCCAAGAAATAATGCTGCACTTGAGAGAGTACGAATTCTGAAAAATAGTCGCTATTAAGCAAACTTTTTTTTTTCTTCTGCCGGAAACGGCCTTCCATACATATTTGTACAAGTGGAAAAGATTTTTTTTTTTTTTTATATCACCAGTGGCTGAATATAATGAAATATTTTGAACCACTTTGGTTTGTTGTAGGGGCTTGCAGTCATATAGATTGCAGTGATTCCAATGAAGACGACGGTGAGACAACTGATGTGTCGCTCATCACTGGAGCTCTACGATCTTCTGGCTTCTCCTCCCTGGAGCCAAAGGACGCTGTGCCTGGATCAGCTGTGGTACAGAAGAACCAAACCCTGATGCTGGCACATGCTAACACAGCAGGTTTGTGGGAGTTAAAATGTCACATTTGATCAATCCAGCTGATTTCAGTTCAGTTGAACTGCAGCAACATTTATGCCTGTAGTATGAAACAGACATAGAGTGACACTTGGGCACTGGGAGCAAACTGCACACAGACGCCACAGAGGAATGACACCCGGGAGGCTGTAAGCCGCAGGACGAGCTCCTGAGCCACCACACCACCTTCTGACATTCCCTTGAAGTAAAATAGAGAGATTATTTTTCAATTTGATTTTCAAAAATGAACACAACTCTACATCTTGCATTGACTCAAGTTGTCTAAGTAAAACTTAAAAGCTTGCTGGTCTGGATTAATGAATTGTTAGTTTTTTTCTCTTTTCTGTTGCAGCCTCGTTCTTATCTGGCCGGAGTTGGCAGGGGCTGGATCAGAAACTGGGAGAAACGCCAGTGGTGAAGGCAGTGGAGGGAAGGAGAGGAATCGCCATTGCCTATGAAGAGGAGGGCAGCAGATACGCATCGTCTTAGGGGGGGGGAAAGCGCATTTATGTTTGGGGTCCATTTGTCATTAAACCCAGAATCAATATCCCCAAAGATCAGAAAGCGAACTGATTGATGATATTTAACTTCACTGTCTGAGCCTATGACAAATGAAATGACAATAGACTCAGCCCTGCTAAACAAAGTTTACTGTATTTTATATTTTATCTATATTTTATATATATATATATATTGGATTGTACATCAAAATAAATTAAACAGCTGAATTCAGCACTATCATCAGCAATTTGAGCAAAGTACTTTTTGTTAAATTTTTGTCTGTTTACGTTTTCTAGGAAATCAGTTGCAGGACAAAAAAAACTTTTCATGTAACTAGTTTTTTTATTGGTGCCATGTGATTTGGAAATGTGGGATGTGGAGTCAAAATAATGCACTTTTAAATACAGTTCGGCAGCATGATGCAGCTTGTGGAATAAAAATCGCTTCTGCTTAGGAGATGGTGGAATCGGGTTCTCTTATTACCGAACGCACCCAGGAGGTCTCCAGGAGTGAACACAAGGAGGTCACTGGCTCAAGCACCAGCTGGATAATTACATGTTCATGGGCTTTTCAGCAAGGTTCTTAACCCCCAGCTTATCCTTATTACTCTAACCATGAAATACACACCCGTACATTGCTCCGTACAGCCTTTTGCAAACAATTATGTTCCCATGTTTTGTATCCATGACCCTTAACAAAAAGCATACACAATAACACAGGTACTTAACAAATCTATGCACCCTGCCACTTAACAGAAAACACTGTCTTTCACTATTGTGATGATGTCATACACATGAAGACTGTGATTGTTTAGAGGACTGAAATGCAAGCTATTGTTGACCCAGGGATGCGCTGTATTCTGGAAAATCAGGATGTGCCCTCAGCAACCACTTTTATTTTTGCCTTGGACTGACCCTTACCTTTAATCTATTGTTATGACCACGTCTAGGGTCAGGCCCTAACACAAAGGAGAGGAGACAATTTATGACGCTGCAAGACAAACATTTATTGGTACACAAATATATTGTGGAGATATGCGGTAAACTGGTGGCAATACGGTGGACACAAATACAAAATCCTTAACAGACGTCTTCTTGGAGGGATCCAGTCAGCCTTGCCTCGGTGGATGGTGTGTACTTCAGGACATGCAATCACAGCGGCCGTGCAGAGACTGATGCCAGAGCGACAGGAGGTTGTACCACTATGCTGTTCTATTACCGATATTCACCACATTGGTGACATTCAAGGATATAATGAAAAGAAGACATTTTCTTCCCTAATCTTTTTCTTTATTTCTTCTTGGTGTTTTCCGCTGACTTTTTCCCACTTTTAACTGGTGCCTCCTCTTCATCTTTTTCCGAGGCAGCCTTTGCCCGCTTCTTGCCCAGAGGAGTCTTCGCGTACCAGTGCTGCAGGGATAAGATTGGAAGCATAAGATTCCAGTCATTACTGCTTTCAGAAGTCAGGGCACGCTAGCAGGATACATTGTATTTGTTAAGTATTTTACTTTTAGAGCCTCTTCCTCATCATGGAAGATGGGGTCAGTCTTAGCCAGCGGGGACACAAACTCCGCTGCTGTTAGGGGTCTTTTGGCCAGCTGCTGGAGGCGGTGCTCCGTCAGAATCGCCCGGACCACCTGCACCATGTGACCCTGAGTGTAGCCGTCTGAGATTTTGGCCAGACAGCTCAGATCCAATGAGTCAGTCACCTCACCACCAGCCTTCTTAATCAGCTCTCTCCACATAACTAGGATTTAAGCATTTATAATTAGAGGCACGGTAACTGCAATTAATTCAGTGACACAGCACAGTAGCAAACGTGCATTGTGACCCACAGAAAGTATTTTTTAACATATAACAGCCATATAACGTTTAAAAAGAAAGATTTTACCAGAACCAGAATTAAAGCCCATGTTACCCATCATGTCAGGATACACAGTTCTGGCAGCAAATCAATTGGTATTCTGTGGTATTCATTTTCATAATGCATATGCAGTTATTTAAAATATGAAACGTTTTTGCATCTAATGAATGGAGTTTAATGAACGGTGCAAAACAATAAATTATCTACTGTCTCACCATATCTTGAAGCATAATCCGGTCGTGGAATGAGGATGATCTTGCTGTACACCTTGCAGAGCGATTTGAGGTCTGCACTCCCTGGGTCTTGTGTTGTACCCACAATGAGAACACGGTCTCCACCTTTGATAGACTTCAGCATCTTAGGCAGATCTTTCTTTAGACGCCTTGGGTCTAACTGCACAGAGGAGAATAATATCCAGTCATCCTCAATATACACACTTCAAAATGTTCCTTAACCCTGAAACTCAGGAGTGTTTCCCCAGGCTAAATGAATCTGTTTTGCAATAATGCATATTTTCATGTGTATATGCTGTGCTTTGTTAATCTGAATCTGTGTAAGTGCAGCCTAAAAGATCATTACAGTACCTCCTTTTCCTCTTTGGGGACCTTCTTATAAAACATCTTCTCAGCATCTCCAATCCAAATAACTGAAGGATGCAACTGCTTAGCAACCTATGATCAACAAAGAAACCTCAGGGATGTAGTACTAAAACTGAGATAAACATTTTTTCAAGATAACATGTTTTGATGGAACCTCATATCATGAAGAATGTGGCTTGGTATCAATTATTATTATTAGGGATGTAAGGATAAAGGTGATATCCACGATAAAAAAAAATACCTCGACACCGTTGTTGGACTGTTACGATATCAACCACGATATCACATTGTTATTTCGCTCATATAAGCTCCATCTCAAAAAAATACATACTGTACTACACTAACAAATGCTTTGTGCTCTAATGGCCGTGTGTAACCCACATAGGTAAGTAAATCCATTACAAGACTACGGAGCCCCTCTAGTGACATAGGAGAAAAAAATATATATTGCCTGGCCTTAAAACATGAGAACGAGTTAGATTTCCGGGATGTTGTATGCTGGTCTAATGCATTTGTCAATAACGCCTTTAGGAAGTTAACATGTATCTTCTCACAATTATGTTATCAATTAAAAAAATTTTTATTTTTTTTTTAAATTTTTCTTTCTTTTTTTCCCTTTTGGAGTTTTTCCTTTTTTTTCCGGGCTTTGGGAATTTTGTTGGCCCGGGTTTTTATCTCATGGCCACCTGCACTTAATTATCTCGTGGCCACACAATATATTTTTTCTCCTATGTCACCAGAGGGGCTCCGTACTAAATGATAATTTATCTCTTTAAGAAAAAAGACGATTGTATGCAGATTGTGAGGTGATGTCACAAAGTAACTTGGAGAGCGCGGGTAGTTTTTCTGCAGAAGCGGTTGAGGCTGGCTGCAGCGAGTGCTGGCATAGGATTTAGAATACGGTAAAAAGAAAACTTGATAAATTTGATTTTACAGTTTATGTGTTGTAACAGGTTTTTTTTTTTAATTAACTAAAGGAAAAGGAAGATGGAAGAAATGTTTTAAACCACGATAAATTGTTTTTTTTCTGAGCTACAATGACACTTCTGAAGATTTGGAATGGATATTCATGCATGTGCTTCGCCGAACAGGGACCCACCGAACGGAGCTCATAGCTGGATGTTGAGCTGGACCCATGGAGCAACGGTGAAGGATGAGTAGAGGGAACTTTGAATTTCTTACAACGTGTGCAGTTCGGATATGATGGACTGAATTGAACTGTATATTAACCTTTGGACATTATTATGCCTGAATTGAACAGTATATCAACCCTTGGATATTGTTATGCCTGAATGGTATACGATGTGAGATTTTCTCTCCCTTTATACGTGTTGAATTTTGAGCTTGATATGTGGGGGGAGGTTACTGATTTAAAGGAAAGATAAATAGGTGATAAAGATACTGGATAGAGAATTTAAATAAGGAATTATTAGGTGATTATTAATAGATACAAAATAATTATTTTATACGATCTGTGCGCAGTTAAAAATCAGCAAAACTGAACTAGGATATAACTAGATATAGATTTAGGATTAACTAGGAATAACTGATTTAACTTCTGGACTCAGAACCCAAAACAAACAATATTTAAATCTATAATTTTATAAAGAGGTAGATTTACTTTTTCTATTTAAATGTAAATGTATGTAAATGCATTCACGATTTTTTATGTTCTACAATTAATATTTACTAAAGGTTGCTGTTCAAAATTTTGAGGTGTCATTATCTTTTCCCCTACCACTCCCATCAAACCTAGAACTGGCCAGTAGCACTACTAAGTGGACCCAAAATAGGTTCATAAGTGTTACATGTGCACTGTTTTCACGCTTTATTTAGCGTGTTAGTATGTATGGGCGTGGCCTATGCATTGTTGAGCCATTCATTGCAAAGGACAATTACTGCTAAGTTCTGGCAAAGGCTTAAGGTCATAGCTGGATATTTCACTAATAAAGAAAAGCAGAAGCACTTTATGTTAAAAGGAAGAACTAATTTGATATAAATAAACATGTTATAAATAAACATGTTGATTATTAATTATTAAGAGTTTTTTTCTTGTTTAATATTGTGATAATTATTGTATCGTGAACATTTTATCGCGATATCGTACCGTGAATTTGTGGTATCATTACATCCCTAATTATTATTATTATTACTACTACTACCTTGAAAACCACGTGGAGCATCATTTGCAGTCCATTCTTGCCTGGATACTTCCCCGCAAGGTTTAGAGGGGAGAGGTCAAAGAGGTTGGCCCCTGTTTCCTGGCAGATGGCATGGACCAACATTTTCTTTCCAACGCCAGCTGGACCTGCTAGTAGTATCGCTTTCACCAGAGGTGCTTTCTCATGGACCACCTGACACCCTGAAGTGTAGAGAAACATCAACGGTTGAGATAAAAAAAGCAAAGCAGAAATTCAATTACTGACACTACTTAACAAACAAGTTCTGTTCCTATGACTAGGTCATTAAGCAAATTAGTCAATAACCGATGAGCTAAGCTAGAAAGAAATACAATGCCTAATATATCTATCTATCCATCCATCCATCTACTATTTATCCTGATCAGGGTCGTGGAGGGGGCTGGAGCCTCACCCAGGAAATTTAGGGCACAAAGCTGGTGTACACCATGCACAGAAAGTCAGTCCATCGCAGGAAACACACTCACACATCATGGGAAACTTAGAGATGCCAATTAGCCTGTATGTCTTTATATGAGTGGAGCACCCAGAGGAAACCTACTGCCCCATAGGGAGAACCTGTCAAACTCCACACACACACACACACACACACACATACACATACACACACACACAGCAGAGGTAGAATTCATAATCCCCCAATCCTGGATGCAACTGTGCTACCCACTGAGCCACCATATCGCACGTTTATTCATTGAAAGTTAAGTTAGCATACTGTTTATATATGCTTTAGTACAGCAATTAAGTTTAAGCAGGTAGCATGTTGCCTCAGTAGCGTTGAGGTCTGAACTCCATTGTTATGAGTTTCCTGCTTTGTGTGCAAACATAAATGGCCCAGGAATCTGTCGTTCTGTTATTAAGCGGCAGCGCAAAATATTTTACCACCGCAACCTCACAACACCCAGTCAGCAAACTTTACCTTCACTTTCTAGTGGGCGGCAAATTTTAATGCTGGTACACCCCCAGCCAGCACACCCCCAGTCAGCGCACCCCCAGCCAGCGCACCCCCAGGCACTAGGCTTCTGCATTATCTAATTTTCTGTACTGTCATACTGACATTACACAGCAGTCTACAGTATTGACTGTATTTTAAAAAGAAACGCTATTCTGGTATTTCCCAATAAAATTTGCTGAGTGAGGTTGGGGGGGGGGGCTAAGACTAGCCAGCACCTCCTCCCCCTCCTAGGTTGTGCCTCATCTAACTCCCTGAAATCAATGTGCCTAAGCTGGGATGTCTGTGTACGTGGAGCACAGACCTTCTCCCTTCTGCAAGAAATAGTCTAAAAACACGCAGTGAGATGTCTCTATATTGCCTGTAGTGCATCATTGTGATTGTGCTGCGATGTGATGGCCTTGCATCATGTTCAAGGTGCCCCTTTCCCAGTGCCCAGAGCGTCCTGGAATGGGCTCAAGGCCCCCCATGACCCCAGAATGAACAAGCAGTTTTGGAAAATGATTAGATGTGAGACGTGAAAATCTCTACAAGTTATACACATTGATTAACATAGACGGTGACAGCATGTACCTACCTAAAGGCAACACAGCATTCAAAGCGATGACCTGCCGCACGTCGGACAGGGAGGGCATGGGTTCGATGTCCGTCTGTCGTAGCGTAGTCCCCAGGTAGTTATACTCACCTGTGTGTTAATTACGGAAGATAGTGAGAGTTATTCCTCTAACGCAGGGATTTATAGTTTAAGTGGCACATAAATGAGATGTACAAATAAATACATCTATTTGCAAAGGTAGCATTATTTTTATTTTGAACAACTATGAATAATGGTACCTTATTATGTAATAAAATATTGTTTCCTGATAAATTAGTGTTTTAGTGTACAATGTGAAAATGATAAATGCCATCATACGTATAGTTATATATGACTGAACCAATTTTAATAGATATGTAAGCTTGTTAAGGGGACATTAAAAAATCTGGAAATATTACAAATATGCTGACAGAACACCCCAAAATTACAAACATCAAATACATGTTGTATAAATAACTGTATATGATGTAAAATTACCTATATAGTCTTCAAGCCTAACAGCTTTAGATTGTTTCAGCAAGCCCTGTTCAACCAGTTCATGAAAAAGCGACTCAATACTCCTGTAAATAAATGCAGTGATGTTAAAAGTTTGTCAATTGATGATTATTTAATGCATGCAAAAGGCATTATTTCAATTTACAATTTTATGAATACAAGTTACCTGATCTTAATGTCCTCTGCTGCTCTGCTATTTTGTTGAAATGCAGTCCCTTATTTAAAAGCTTGCCCCACTTACTGCTAATACACTGGCGGCTTTCTCACCTATCAGCAGTCAAGTCTTTCTCTTTCTTTTTTTTCTTTTCATTTTTCGGTCCTTTTTTCTTCTAGGATGAAAGTTAATTCAAATATCATTCATATAAATCACTCATATTAATATAAAAAAACAGTCCGTGTATTTGCTCCCTCCCAGCTTCCTGTCTGTGGGTCCCCGAGGACCAGACTGGGCATTACTGATAAAAAGAACACGCTGCTACCTTCGTATTTCCCTTGGTGTTTCCTCCTTTGTCTTTGTCCACAGCCAGCTTCCAGTGAGCCAGCTCCTGTCTCATGAGCTCATCTACCTTAAAAAAGACAGTAAATATCTGTCCATCCATCTTCCAAACGCTTGTCCTGGTCAGGGTGACATAGAGGAGGGCTGGTACCAAGCCCAGGTAGCACAGGGCACAAGGCTGGGGTTCCCCCTGGATGGGGTGCCAGTCCATCACAGGCCGCAGACACACATACACAACATCATACATTATGGGCAATCTAAAAAAAAGAATTAGCCTAAATACATGCCATTGGACTGCAAGAGGAAACTCGAGCACCCAAAGGAACCCCATGTTACACAGGCAGAACAAACAACCACACACACAACAGAGGTGGGGTTCAGGCCCCAACCTGATGGTCCTACCCACCGAGGCACAGTCGAAATAATAAATATATGTGCTCAAACGTAAATTGTACATTGATTTACCTGCAATCGGATTTCATATTCGAGATCTTTCCGTTTTTCTTCTTTGATCAGTTCAACCTCATGCCACTGATTAAAGTTCTTTGACTCATCGCGGTTTTGCCAGACAGCTGCAATTTACACAAGAAAGGCAAAAATGTAATTAGAATGTCTGGATTTTACAAAGCACTCCTCAGCTTTTATAAAGCCGTAGTTACACATACAAACACAATGTCGCTTTCTGCATTTAGCTCATATTAAAACTAAAGTTGTGTAAAACAGAAACTAATACTGTAATTTCTCTGAAATACGACAATTTTCTATGAGAAAATTGCTGTTCATTTATTTGGAAGATGTTTTCATCTGCTTTGATTTCTTATTGAGCTCTTGAGTGATTTTCATATGATCACTTCATCTGCAGTTCAGGCCTTGAATATATTATAATGACCTGTTTTCATTTACCATGGTTCTGTGATGATGCAAAAAAAAACGAACCCAAATGCAGACTAAATCCGGGGAGCAGAGATTAGCACAGCAGACAGTAATCATAGTTGAACAGTCCAGCTTATAACCAAAACAGGCAAAACAACATCCAAATCGTCGGGCGCAATCAGAGTTGGTAAATAGGCAAAGGTGGGGAGATTAGCAAACAGGAGATCCAAAAAGGGGCAAAGCAAACTTGGGATCAAGGTAAAAAACAATCAAAAAATCCAGAAGACTCTGAGAGATGTAGGGAGCAAAACTCTCGAAAAACTCTTGCAAAAATCCTACATGCTTCTGGACCTAAAATAATAACAGCATAAAGAGACATGGCCGCGCAAACTGAATTCACTGGCGATCCCAGGGTGTGGGTCACGCAGTCTCTCTCTGAGTGGACAGGGTCTCTTGGCAGGAATCCCCTGCCATGGAGGGAATGACACAACAGGGGATCCCCCAGATGGGTCCGTGACAAGGTCTTTATTCCATCCTTCTACGTTTTCCCTTCAACTTCCTCTCGTATCTTATCATTGTACCTGCTGCCAAGAAGTGTTTCAGGAAACCGTCTTAAATCATCTGAATCAGTTGCACCCACATTCTATATTATTTTACTTCCAGTATGATGAAAATGATACTCTTCTGGAAATCATGAAATAATATTTGTCCATGTGAGTGTTGGTCCTTTTAATGCTTCTGTGGCATTTCATTTTGATATCTGGTCTTCAAAACTGACTATGACCCCGAACTGAGCAAGCAAATATAGAAAATGGATGGCCCTGCATTCCTGAACAAAATACACAGTTGGAAGATGGATGGATGGATGGATGGACGTATGGATGGATGGTCATGTATCGGTCGCCCAAAAGCATGGCTGACTACTTTTCTTACCCTGGTAGGTTCCGCATCCAGTTTCCAGGTCTGAAAGGAAAGCTGATGGCATCATTTTCAGACCTACCTCTTCTTCCTGCATTTGAAGGCATTAGGTATTTAAATAACCCAGCTTACTTGATGCCATATACAGTACCACACACCTGCCACATTACCAGCTATTGAAACACCACAGTTTTAACCAGTTCTCAAGTCAGTGGTGAGACACATAACTAGGGGTCTATAGTCGAGTGTCAAGAGATCAGACAAAAGATGAATTTCAGAGATAAATAAGTTTCTTACAAAACCTTACAATACCTCTTCTCCTTTATCCTTCTTCCCTTTATCCTTTTTTTCTTCCTTTCCTTTGGGTTTTTTGTTTGCTTCCTCTTCTTCCTTGGCAGCTACTTCCTCCAATAACTGAAAACAAGGTTGTCTCCATCACTTGAATATTTATTTCCTCCAAACATAATCAACTGGTTGAGATAACAGAAAACAATGTATTGTCATTTAAAATTTACTGAAATATATGCATATATCATTTTTGAAAGAGAAAGAGATTTAGGACTGATTCACGCTAGGATTAGCCTTCAAATAATGATATTTTAAAACTGATGAACTTGTCTGCTTTGGGTGTATATGGTCAAAAATGAAGAGGAACAAGGGTCCAGTGGTAAATGTGCAGCAGAGTATAAATAAGAATTTCTAGTTTTTATATGTAACCCACCTGTTGTGGAGTTTTCTCAGCGAATATTAATGCAGACCCTCCATCTTCTTCCTCTGGGTAGTCTGGGAAAGTGCCTGTGGCATCACTTTGGAAACATGGGTCACACTAACTATGAATGCCATGTCTATAAGAATCTATGAACAGAATCATAATGCATTATAATGCATTTGTAAAGCATAATAAACATTACTATAAATATGTATAAAAGGCAAACATTGTAGCACATTATAACAAATTATAGCACATTATAACACATTATGTTTATTATACATTTTGAATGCTTTATGAAGCTCTCATGTATAAAGTACTATAGATACCGTCATAATGCAGTACAAAGCATCGTTAATTCTTATACTGACCATTATAATGCATTATGAAGGTAACTATAGTGCACTATAGATGAGAGCTTCAGTGGAGCTTATGAAATATAATCAACACTAATGACTCATGGCTTTCAACAGAAGTTGTAATGCTTTATTAATTTGTATGCCGACCATTATAATGCATTATGAAGGTATCTATAATGCATTAAGGATGACAGCTTCAAGCAAAGTGTTACTGAAACATGCATATTTTGCTAAACTCATATTGTTATATTTTTCAATAAATGTTTTCCTAAATGAGTCACACCCAGGCAGATCCTGAAAATCCAGCATTTATGAACATGCACATTTCTATTTGGTTGCATATAATTGCACCACACACTCACCGGGCACTTTATTTTAAACATCTGTGCACCTGCTCACTAATGCAAACATCTAATCGGCCAATCATGTGGCATTAACATTTTACATTTTTATTTTTTAGCAGATGATTTTATTCAGAACAACATACGTCAGAATGGTGGAACAATGAATTAAAGTAATTAAAGATTAATGTCCATCACAGCCTGTCACACTCTGCAAACTCTGGTATCCTTACTGGCAACTGAGAATTGAGAGGCTCAGAAGGAGCTTCTACCCTCAAGTCATTAGACTACTTAATGCTTACAGTAATTGAATTCTGATTTACATTCTCCCCTTATTTATGCACCTTGCATTTTATTTGATCTGTGTTGCACATCCCTGGTCTGTTTTTTACAGTATAACTTTCCTTATTTATGACACATTTACTATATTGTTTATTTTTATGTCTTTATTTTTGCTTTCACTATTTATTATGGCACCGTTGACCACCTTGCATTTCACTGCAGGTTAATGTACTGTTTACCTTGCATGTGACAAATACCCATTTAATCCATGGAAAGGATGTGTATGGGGCGGGGCCACAGGGGCACTGGCCCCAGATGAAAGCTGATTGGCCCCCAGAGTACCCCCTCCTTTGTCACTCACTGACTGAAAACAGACCATCACCTTATGATAAGGGTGGCCCCTCTGCTTGAACTACGGCTTACTGGCACTCGATGAACCACTGGCGGATTTGCTCCTTCATGCTCTCCTTCAGGTCAGGCCCCTCCATATCTCTGAGCTTTTCAATGATGGACATGATGGACTTCTGAAAGTCCTCCTCATAGTCATCTTGTTTCTTCTGTCTGCTGGCCTGATTTTCTTGTGCAGCCAGGATGGAAGGATTCAGTTGGAAGTGATCAGGACCAAAATTCTTGCACAAAAAAAGACAAATAAACAAAGTTAGTTGAGTTTTTTTTAAGCTGTGTGTGGGCTTAGACTGATGTGACACATTCCAATTTCAATATAAGCGGATGTTATGTGGATACACTGATGACCAGAGGTCACAGAAGAAAGAACATAACAAATAACAATGAACAGCCAGCATACTGTAATTACTCAGTATGGCCATCAAATGCATCATTTGACAATAAGAAATTTCTTGTCTTCTTTTTTTATTTTGTGGTATTAGGTTGTAGAAATTTATACTCTCAGCAGGGTCCTGGAGGATACATGGGAGTTTGCCCAACCAGTCTGCATGTGCTTTGTGGACTTGGAGAAGGCATTCGACCGCGTCCCTCGGGGAGTCCTGTGGGGAGTGCTCCGGGAGTATGGGGTGCCGGGCTACCTTATAAGGTCAGAGCTTGATCTGCATTGTCGGCAGCAAGTCGGACTCGTTTCCGGTGAGGGTTTGACTCCGCCGGGGCTGCCTTTTGTCATCAAATCTGTTTGTAACTTTTATGGACAGAATTTCTAGGCGCAGCCAGGGCATTGAGGGTGTCCAGTTTGGTGACCTCAGGATTGGGTCTCTGCTTTTTGCAGATGTGGTTCTGTTGGCTTCATCGGACCGTGACCTTCGGTCTGTCATGGTGAAGAAGGAGCTGAGCCAAAAGGCAAAGCTCTCGATTTACCAGTCGATCAACGTTCCTACCCTCACCTATGGTCATGAGCTGTGACCGAACAAATGAGGTTGCGAATACAAACAGCCAAAATGAGTTTCCTCCGCAGGGTGGCTGGGTTCTCCCTTAGAGATAGGGTAAGGAGCTCGGTCATTCGGGAGGGACTCAGTAGAGCCGCTGCTCCTCCGCATCGAGAGGAGCCAGATGAGGTGGCTTGGGCATCTGGTCAGGATGCCTCCTGGCCGCCTCCCTGGTGAGGTGTGCCAGGCATGTCCCACTGGGAGGAGGCCCCGGGGAAGACCAAGGACACGCTGGAGGGGCTGTGTCTCTCGGCTGGCTTGGGAACGCCTCGGAATTCTCCCAGAGGAGCTGGATGAATCGCCAGGGAGAGAGAAGTCTGGGTCTCCCTGCTTAGACTGCTGCCCCCACGACCCGACCCGGAAAAGCGGATGATGGATAGATGGATGGTTGTAGAAATTTATACTAATGGCAAAAGATACCAAATTAGAGACAGATCGACGTGTCTCTGCATAATGCAAGAACTGAACTTAGAAAGACTGGCATCCCAGTACCCCAGCCTTATGACCGACGCTGCCTGCTACAGGCTCTAGACCCACCCTGCAACCCTAAAGAGGATAAGCGGCTAGAAGACAGTAGGACAGATTGCTGGATGGATAGATGGATGGATGGAGAGAGGGAGAACCTTTATTTAAAAATACATAAAGGAAATAGAATTTATGATATTTGGGGAACTTTTAAAAATAAATTTAGTAAAGGATTTTGTTAGAGCCATTTTTCTTCTGTAACTGAATATGTACATTTGAATATTTGGATTTGATATTTCATTAGTATTTGTGACAGAATTTTGAGTTATATTTGGCAATTGAGCAGTAGCTTTGCATTTGTTAAGATCTAAGAATTAGTAACCTTAACACGTAATTGTTTTATGTGATGCAATTTGATTGGCTGCTGAGTTTAATATAAAAGCGGAAGGACGCACATAAGACGGCAGAAGCCTTGAGTATCACGGATCGTCACCTTGCATTATGTAAAGTTGTAGCAATTAACAATTCATCTTTTGTTTTGTATCATTTTAAGTTTATAGTAAAGGTACATAAAAGAAAAGACTGGATTCAATACTTTTATATTTCTGCGGGTAAAGGAACTTCGAAGTTCGAGGCTAGTGAGTTAGGGCGCTGCACTCACATAAAAAGTCAAAAGACTAGCCGAAAGTTAATAGAGTCATCCCAAGATAGTTATGCTAGCTCACAAAGACGAAACCGATTGAAAACGGCATCGAACCTTGAGTCGGCTGAACCATATGCTTTCCACGAACCAGGTCTGATATTCTCTCACGCATTAGCCTGCTAGCGATGCTAGTCAGCTAGCTAACGGAGGAAAGTGAAAGTAAATATCCACATGATATCCAGCTCAAAAAGCTGTTGAGTTTTATGCCAAACGATCCCACACATCCAGCAACTCATTTCACAAGTGGCTGTGAATATATTACAAGAGTTTAGAAGCTGTGACAAATTGGTGGAATTGCCTGGTTTACGTGTGGAGATTAATGATTGAACCGAAATGGCAGAAAAGTATGTGGATGCATTTGTTGACCAAAAGAGGGCGCCAAAGCCTACGGAAAGAGCTGTAGAGGAGAAAAGAAATATACTAAAAGAGAAAAGGAAAGCTGGCACAGTTAACCAAGAAAAGGAATGGAATAAAACAATTGAAGCAAGATGAATGCAATGTTGTTATAAAAGAAGAAGCTTTGCTGAAGTTTGAAAAACATTTTGGAGAGTATAACCGTCTTAATGATGAATTATGTGAGCTGTTGAGTGAAGATGATCAAAAGGGTGATCAGGAAACATGAAAGCAGACATACAGAATTAAAGGTGTTCATACAAGAAACTAATACTGTAAATGGATTGTCAATGTTAAAAGAGGCTCTCAAGATGAGGAAGATGATGTAGTGTCTCTAAAGCTAACTCTATTGCAAGTCGTGCATCTCAAGTATCTATCACTAGCTCAGCACGGTTAAAACTTAAAGCAGAAAGTGAAGCACTGTTAGCAAGAGCGGCAGCTATGAAAATAGAAGAACTTGAGGAGGAAGAAGTTCGCTTGAAAGCAAAAAAAGGAAGAGTTGCAGATTGAAACCAAGCTTGCCACGTCAAATGCCAAATTAAAAGTTTATGAATAGTTTGAAGATGCTCATGGGTCTATGGATTTCTTAGAGCCATTCCCAAGGCCTAAAGCTGACTCTTTGTATTTGGCTGGTAGAAAAGAAAAGTGTGACAGTGATGATTATGAGCATCGTGGAGCTGGTAAACCATTGTCTGTTTTCAATCCAAAGACAGCTGCACCAGTTGTTTCTTCAGTCGGAAGAAAATCTTCATTAAGGCCTGCGACAGATAATGCTCAGCAGTCTGATTCTAACAATAACCTGTATCAAGTTACAGCATCACAATGAGGTCACTGAGATGCTCATCAAACAACAAAGTCTGTTTCAACTGCCTCACAGAGACATTCCAGTGTTCATCGGAGAACCTCTTACATATAGATCTTCAATAAGAGCCTTGAAGCACCCCATTGAAAGCAAAACCGACTGCCAGCAAGATTGGTTGTATTATCTAGAACAGTCTATGAGTGGGGAGCCACTTCATCTCGTTCGTAGCTGTAAGGATATGAGGCCTGACAGGGCTTATAGAGAAGCCAGAGCACTGCTTGATCATCACTATGGAGATGAACTGACAATTGCCAATGCCTATATCAGGCCTCGTATACTGTAAAGTCAGAAGACAGAAAAGGACTGAATGCATTTGCTTTGTTCTTGATTGGATGTTGTAATACAGTGAATGATGTGGGCAACATGGATGAGATGAACAATCCTGCTAACATGAGGTGCATCTAATCCAAACTTCCATTTAAGCTGAAAGAGAAATGGAGAAGTTTTGCATACGACATTCAAGAAAAAAGAAGAAAACGAGCCAGATTTCCTGATCTGGTGGACTTTGTTTACCATCAAGCTAAGGTTGCCAATGACCCGCTGTTTAGAGATGTGCTGGATGTGACCTCAGGTAGCCAGGGAAGCTCAAAGAAGGTGGCCAGTTCAGGAAAAGATGAGTCCAAAAGGAGCAACTTTGCTGTGAGTGTGTCTGCTACTGATAAGGACACCATTAAAGGCAAACTGGAGAAGTCAGCCAATGCTTTCCAAAATCCCTGTTTGTACTGAAAGAAGAACCACATGATCAGCCAAAGATCAGCCTTTGAAAGAAAGAATTGAGTTCTTGAAGTCACATGGGCTGTGTTCCAGTTGCCTTACAGCAGGTCATCTGTCTATGGACTAAGAAAAAGGCCTCAAGCCCAGACTGTTCCCGTAAGCATCCTGCTGTCCTACACATGGTAAAGGAAGGTACCACTTTAGAGAAGAACAGTAGAGATGATAGCTCCCAGGGCACAACTGAAGTAACAAATGCGCTTGTGTTGGCAGGGTGTGGAAGAGGTGAGCATACTGGGGCCGGGAATAATGCATGTATACTTCCCATCGTACCTGTGCAGATAAAATACAAGGAAGGCACAAAGATCATCAAAACTTATGCATTCCTGGATTATGGAAGCACAGCGACTTTCTGCACTGAAGACTTGGTGAAGAAGTTGAACATCTGAGGCAGAAAGATTTCCTCCTTCATACCATGGCACAAGAGCATAAATTGAGCAGTTATGTCCTAACAGATCTGGAGGTGTGTTTTAGATGGACAAGATTATGTCAAGCTGCCAAACGTGTATACTCTCCCAGACATACCTGCAAAGAAAGTCAATATACCACAGAGGAAAGATTTTGAGAAGTGGTCTTACCTGAATCGAGTCAACTCCCAAAGCTAGTCTCAGACATTGGTCTTCTCATTGGTGCAAATGCCTACAAGGCTATAGAGCTGTGGGAGATAACAGCCGGAACAGCAGACCATATGCCGTGAAGACTGCTCTGGGTTGGGTAGTTAATGGGCCAATCAGCAGATGTCAAGAGAAGAAATCTGATGATGCTGAAAGACAGAGTTTCTTCGTCAACCGCATATCTGTAATGAGTATTGAGGACATGTTGATACGGCGCTAAGAAGCCGATTTTCCAGAACGCCAGTGTGATGACAAGTGAGAGCCATCACAACATGACAAGCAGTTCATGCATGCTGTAACCACATCAGCACAGCTTACAGATAGCCATTATTGCATTAAAATGCCTCTGAAGGATGAAAAGGTGAAGATGCCATGTAACCGGTATAGCTGAACAAAGGCTTAACTCCCTGAAAAAGAAGTTCAGTTGGAATCCAGACTTCTTTCAGGATTTATGGACAACATCCTTGAGAAGGGATATGCCGCAAAGTTTCCAGAAGAGCAGTTGAGTCGCAGTGATGGTAGAATATGGTTCTTCCCGCACCACGGGGTGTACCATCCGAAAAAGAGAGAACTGAGAGCACCCTTATCGGAGCATGTCACCCTGATAGCGGATATTGAATCCATTTTCTTCCCGGGGCAGGTTCCAGATGAAGACGCAGAACTGCTGCGCTTCCTTTGGTGGCCAGATGGCGATCTGAATAGGAAGGTAGTCGAATACAGGATGTGTGTACATCTGTTCAGAGCCACTTCATCCCCCAGTTGTGCTTCGTATGCACTAAGAAGAACAGCACAAGATGCAGGTGCGGTGACTTCACCGGAAGCCACTCAGACAGTCCTCAAAAACGTCTATGTGGACAATTGTTTGAAGTCAGTTGCCACAGAAGACAAAGCTGTTAACCTTGTGAGGGAACTGACGAAGTTTTGTGCCAGAGGCAGGTTTCACTTGACAAAGTGGGTAAGCAACAGTAGGACCTTGCTGTGCTCCATTCCTGGCAGCATGTTGAACTACCAGTGGAATGGGCATTAGGCGTGCAGTGGTGCACAAGTTTTGATAGTTTCAAGTTCAAGATTCAGCTGCCAGACAAGCCATGCACAAGATGAGGCATCCTTTCTGTTGTCAGTTCTGAGTATGACTCGATGGGATATTTAGCTTCACTCCTCTTACCGGTTAATCTCATTCTGAGGGATCTCTGTAAAGAGAAAAAAGGCTGGGATGACAAAATACCAGAGAAGCTACGCCAGACATGGTAGAATTAGTTATTAGACCATTAGATCATTTCTCAGACACAAGTCAAGTTGGATATGGCATTGTGTCATATCTCCTGTTGACAAATAAGCGAGAAGAGAAACATGTTTGTTTTGTGATGGGAAAATCCTGAGTTGCTCCTCATAAACAGGTTACGATTCCCAGAATGGAGTTGAAAGCTTCAAGTTTTTTGGACGGATTCAATCTTCTGGACAGATAGTACAACAATACTAAAGTACATTGGAAATGATGCCCTTCGTTTCAAAACGTTTGTGGCAAACCATGTTTCTTTCATAAGAGAAGCTACCACACTTGCTCAATGGAAGTATGTCAACACCTCTCAGAACCCAGATGATCAGGTGTCACAAGGCTTGAAGATTGAGAGCTTTATGTCAAGTAAGATCTGGTTTCAAGGGCCTAATTTCTTGATGAATTAGAGTGAGTGGCCAGAGCAACCTGAACAGTGTGCTTGCCTGATGGAACATGATGAGGAGGTGAAGACAGCTGCTATGTCGTGCACAAGTTCAATGGTAGACAACGCAGCTCCAGTGAACCAACTTATGGTGTATTACTCCAGTTGGCACAAACTGAAAAAAGCAACCGCTTGGTCTCTGCGCTTAAGAGAAACATTGCAGTACCTGAGTGAAAAGAGAAGAGAGTTTGAGAAGACTGTACAACAGTCTGAAAATTATCCAGAAAACAGAAATCTGTGGTTAAACAACAAATGATTTTGTGCAAGAAAAATCTGGAAAAGAAAATGCTTTCCATTGAAAATTTGTCCAAAACAAACACAGGCGTGGATTATTTTAGCCCTTTCGAGATTAGAAGAGGATGTCAAAGTCAAGAGTTATGGTGTGCTCTTCACATGCCTGAGAGTGAAAGCAGGGCATGTAGAAGTTGCCCATTCCCTTGACACAGACTTGTGTATTAAAGCCCTATGCCGCTTCCAAGCCAGACGAGGACAAGTTTCAGTCATTCGTTCTGATAATGGCAGGAATCTGGTCGGCGCAGAGAGACCTGAGACAGGCGTTAAAAGAACTGGACCAGTCCTGTATCAATGAAGTAATGATGTGGAAAGGAGTGCAGTGCACGGATGATCCCAGTGATCTTGAGCCGCTGAGACCAAATCATGGCGTGTTTGTTAAAGATGGTATCTAAGCCCAACTTCGCTGGAACCAAGTGCAATATATGGCGGATCTATTTGGGAGAAGGTGGTCCCAGGAATATACCTCTTTTATATGATATGCTAAGGCCTAGTCAATTAGGGGCCGGGATTTGTTAGAGCTATTTTTGTGCTGTAACTAAATATGTACATTTGAATATTTGGATTTAATATTTCATGAGTATTTCTTACAGAATTTTGAGTTATATTTCTAACATCTGAATATTTGTATAGCTTTGCATTTGTAAAGATTTAAGAAATAGTAACCTTAACACGTAATTGTTTTATGTGATGCAATTTGATTGGCTGCTGAGTTTAGTATAAAAGTGCAACGACGCACGTTACACGTTACATGTTACACGTGGTGGCTTGATGGTTAAGGAAGCGCGCTTGTAATTGAAAGATTGCAGGTGCGAATCCTCGACCAGCAAGGCACCACTGAGGTACCCTGAGCAAGGTACCGCCCCCAAGCACTGCTCCCCGGGCGCTGAATTAGCTGCCCCCTGCTATGTCACGAAAGTCACATATGGGTTAATTTAAATGCAGAGGACACATTTCGTTGTTGCACACTGTGTGCTGAGGTGTGTTAACAATGACCACTGATCACTAAATTCTAAGACGGCAGAAGCCTTGAGCCTAGGAGCATCACAGTTTTTTGACCATCACACGTTACGTTATGTCAATTTGTAGCAATTAGGAATTCATCTTTTGTTTTGCATAATTTAAGGTTTATAGTAAAGATACATACATCAAAGAAAACACTGGATTCAAAACCTTTATTTTTCTGAGACATGTTTTTATGTTTTAGATTCATTATCCATTTTTTAACTCACCATCCCCAGGAAGATTAACTCATCCTCTCTTTCTTCTTTTATTTTCTTTCTCTGCAGAAAACCTCTCCATACCTACAGTAAATAAAGAAAAATGAAAGCGGATCCAGCACAGTGTATTTTTCTGGAAGCAAAACTAATTTAGGGTCGTGGCTCAGCTGGTAATGTCTCTATGCCTGTAATTAAAAGGCCACCAGTTTGAACGGAACTGTCAACAGATTAGTCACTTTACCACTGAGCCCTTGAGCAGGACCCTTAACTCTCCAAAGATGCTCCAGAGGCCCCTGTTAAATGGCTAACCCTGAGCTCTGACCCAAGCTGTCTTCTCACCTATGTATGCATCTCTGAGGAGAGCAAAATGAGATATGCAAAAACTAAAGAATTCCTATGTACTTGTGTAAATAGCAAAAACACTTAATTCAGTTTTCAATAAAGCATCAACATTACTTCTAGTTCAGTAAGTTCATTATTAGTTTTAGCATCTGCTAAAAACTGCTCAGAAAGTTTTGTACCTGCATTAAAAATATGCAGTGAAACATCAGTGTCCTGATGGTTTAGTGCAGATTTGACTCGCCTTTTGAATGCAGACAGCAGCTTCATCAAGGGCGGTTGATTCCTTGTTCCTATCCTTGGCTCTCCTCTGCCTCTCTTCGTCCTGACGGATCTCTTTCATAAATCTAGCGCGTAATCGGCCCTGCCGCGCCCTCTCTGACACCTGAATCATCTTGATGGCCTCTTCGAAATTCAAAGATCTTACTCCCACAGGCTGTATATTAGAAGATAATGAAAGAGTCATTAAAAAAATATCTTGGTGGTTCAGTAGTTTCTCTGCCTCTCACCTCCAAGGTTGGGGATTCAAGTATTCTTACTGCTGAAATGTAGAATTATTCTTTTTGTGGTGTTCAGCATCGGGTTGCCACAGTTATGGATACTGACTCTAGCTAATGGTGAATCAGACTACAACTTCTCAACTCTGTACTGCTGTATCTTTTAAAATAGAGTATAGATTACAACTCACTTTTGGTTGTTCTTCCACACCGATTGATTTGAGAATGGAGGATAGCATCTGACTTCTCTCCTGTAGGACAGTTCTGTTTTCCCTTATAAAGTATCTCGGGATGGGTATTTCAAGGTCCTCCTTGAATGAAATGCAAACATTTTGTGACCTTTATCTTTAAACCATTGACTTTCATCCAGATCTGGTCAATGGAATTTCCTTGATCTTACCGGTGTGAGTTTCAAGTCTTGGATAACATCATCCATGTAGTGGTACTCAGAAAACTCTTTCTCCACCATCTCGTGTTTGAGCTCCAGTACACGACCCATCACACCATCAAGCAGTTGTCGAATTATTCGCCTCTTTTGGGGGTGAACGATCTGATCATAGGCTTCCTCCAGATGCCGAAAAATCTGAATATAACGCACATAAAGCACAGCTAGGCGCTGGAAGAACATGACCCTGTCTTTCTCTGGGCGGAGTGGTTCGGCAGGAAGTTCATGAGTCAGCAAGCTTTTCAGTTCCATTTGGGCATCAGCCCAAATCTTATTGTAGGTGCTAGAAAAGGAGGCAAAGTTCCATTATGAGTTATCTTGTATCTCCAACAAGATCATTTTATCATTTGTCACTTTTGAAGGACACAGTATGCCTGATCTTTTAGCTTACAATCGATCTTAAGAATACAACTTTAAGTGTCTTTTTGTGTGATTTAAATATACTGGTTCAATTGTTTATGCCAACCATTTAAATAAAGGTTTCGGTAACCACTTTACAATAAGGCTCCCTTTTGCCACTTGTAAATCGTAGTAACTCAATACAAAAGAAAACTGTGTTTAAATTGTCTTAATAATTTACAAAGTGTTACAACCTAATTAATAACCAGATTATAAACCATTCATAAACTCTTTATATGGGTAGCCTTGTTATAAAGTGATACCAAAATTAATTCCAGAAAAATATAAGCAGCTCTATATAAGCAATACAAGCAGGTCTATATACAATGTGAAATACACGTCTGTACAATTTACAAAATAATAACTCGACCTTCACTGGCAAATCAAGAGACAAAAATCCTTTAGGTATAAGATGCAGTTGCCTGCAAGAAATATATAAAAGAAGCGTGGGTTGCATAAAAATGATTCATCAGTATTACTTGGAGAGCCAATGGTTTCAACTTATGAGGTTTGCGTTCAAACGCGTTAGCTACCGATAGGGATATTAACTGGAGATTACACCACGAGCAAGTCATCTAGCCACCGCGTAAGCTCGCTGCAGTACCTGGCAATAATAAATACAAACTCATCCAACTTAAGCATTCACGAAAGCTTACTTGTACATATTGGTCATATTTATACATACCTATGAGACATTATGGCAGATGATATGGACTTTCTTATTTGTTTTCTTTCGTTAACTGTCTGAAGTCGATCAACGTACTGTAAGTAGACTTATTTTGTTTTGCCTTGTCGGCATGGAAACGGGGTCCTCCGTTGCACGTGCAGAATTTGGGAAGCCCTCGATCCCCTTCTCGTATTTAAATGTGTATTTTAGAAGGAAATAGGTAAATGAGTACAACACACTGGGAATTATTTAGCAGTCTAGCCGAAGAGGGGGATACATTATATTTCACGCCATGAAACGATCAGTACGTGTAGGATAAACACTTTAGTGAAATGAGATTAACTACTATTTTTATGTTTTTTTATGTTGAACTTTGACTCAAACCCGATTACCCTGTCTAAAGTATCTGAGTTGGGCTTAACTGATTTTACTATCTGCTCGAAACAAAGTTACACTTAATTATTAATCGAATTAATGAATAAATACATTTCGTTATTACACTTAAATTTCTATGAAACATATTAATAGTAGCATATACTAAATCTAATACAAATGAATCGATCTTCAACCAACTGTGTATTTTTTTTTCTACATTAACACACAAAATATAAGTCTTCTTGCAGACCCTTTTCAGTTAACTAAAACCACAGGAAAAATAGCTGTTTCGTTGTAAATAGGGTGATGTCACATTACAGTGTGGCCGTAGATTGAGATGGGTCCTGAAGAAGCTGTATAAATACATACTGTATGTACCTGCAAACAGGCATAATCGATGAAAATGCTTTGTAGACTTCTGTACTAATGCAAGGCTGCAGTAAAGGTGAGTTTTTCAAAACATTTTTGTTAATTATATTTTTAAGATACAAGATTTTTTAAAATGGCTTAATTACAATTAAGGAAAATCTCCTTGTGTGACTGATTGTGAATTTTGATTATGCTGTAATATACATGCTGATGTACACGCATAGTGGAGTACAGATTTTGATCAGTTATTTTGCTCTTGTATTAACATAAGTGGACCAGGAAACTCATCTGATCATGACTCCAAAATCTCCTGCAAAAGACAGTGAATAATTCCTACTTATCTATAGCAATTACACCCTCCCTTAAGCTGTGAAGGACAAAACCTTTCTGTGATGGAATCTGCATGTTAACACCTACTGTAACATCACATTATTCATTGAAAGGCTCACACATCCAATCATGTGTTCTACAATGGTGCTGTCTAGTGTCCACTAGAGAATAATAACATTCTTAGTTTAAAAAAGGCACATTGTCTGTTATACAAAGTGCAACAACATCAGTTACAAGCAGTTAAAATACTGTGCTGCATTATTTACAAAGGCATAAGTATATCCCATTGCGAGCTTCAAGCCAGCGTGTTTGGCCCCTCATAAGATTTGCTGCACTACTGAGGAAAGACGTTACAGTGTCAGTGCATCTTTCTCTTCACACATTGACAGGCAGTAGGTTTTCCAGCTGGAGCAGAATGTTGACTCTGGGTTGCACTGTTCCCTCAGACCTTCACTGTTGTGAGTTTTATTTTCGGCTCTGCTTTGAATGTGTGGAGTTTGCATGTCCTCTCCTGTTGTACAGGTTTTCTCTGAGTATTCAGATTTCATCATAAAGTCTAAAAACATGCAGTTAGACCTTCTGGGGTCTCTGAAGTACCCATAATGAATGATTGTTTGTGTGTATGTGCCCTTCAATGGACTGACATCCCATTCAGGATGTAGCCCAGCTTTGTGCCCTCTGACATAGGATCCAAGCCCCCCCAATAACCCTGAACCCAGGGGTCACAGAAAGCTGGACAAACCCTTTCACTCTGACATGGGAAAGAGACCAGAACATCCAAAAAGGGAAGAAGGTTCCACCCAGGCCTTTCTGAAGGATCCATGAACTTCATGAAGAGCATGAAGAGGACTCTGGACACCAAGCTTTGGTGATGAGCACAAATAAATGCATAAAATCATTATGTGCCTCTAAGCTTCCTTTAGCTCCATTAGCTACATCAAAAATAACTCAAGAGTTCAGTGTCCTGGGCAATCAGTGGAAATATTAAAAAATGGAGTATAAACAGCCACCTGAAAATATTCTGGTAACATTTTAAATAAATGAAATTTACTTTAAACAAATATACTGTATCATTCATATATTCAGTATATAAATTGTGTTTATGATTCCTTGGTTAATTACAGCAGTAGTTTGTTTGTTTTTTCATTAATCTAATATTCACAGGAGGAGACCATCTGCTACAGAGTCTCCACATTCTATGGATGCAAGGGAAGTACAAGACTTGCAGACACACAAAGTGCATTTTAAGCTTTTCTACAGACAAGCTGCAGGCATATCTAAGGGAGTTGCTGTGTAAGGGAGATGAGAGCCAGAGAAGTGAGAATAAGAGAAAATGTGAAGGAAATGTGATTGGTTCGTATTTTAAACTTTAAATTTTCCCGTGGGGAAATTCTCCTTTTCGCTTTGCCACATCTTGCTCTTCATACAGGTGAGAGCAGGCCTGGAGGTCAGCCTTCACGGAGTGTATTTTAGCAAGATATGTTCTGGTGATTAATGTAATTTCTAGGTGTAATTGAGAGCTCATTGAGCTCTTACACATACTGTAAGCTAAGGAAATTGCTTCCTGATGAAATAGACTGGGTCACTGCCAGAGTGCTGAGTATGCGCTGTATCATCAGTACAATGTGGCCTGTATTTCATAGCCTCAAAACTGTTTCAACAGCTTTTTTTTGTAAGTTTGAGGTTAATCAGTAGCATAATATATGCTGCAAAACTAATAACTAGTATTATTAAATTAGATCAACTGAGTTGACATAGCGTTTTGTGAGGTCCTATGGAAAATCTTGTGTATTAAAAAAAAACCAACATTGTCGATAATTCAATTATGACAGTGTTATAGACACAAGAAATTCACAAGTTAGGATCCAGCTGTTGGGTTTAATTTCAAAAGCTAAATGCAGCAATCCAGTGTCAGGGTAAGTTCAGCCTGGCACAGTTAGATCAGTGGCTTGTACTACAAAGCGGGGTTACTGGCTTATCGGGGTAACCTGTCGGATTTAAGGTACCACAGTTTAAATGGACTTCATATTTGTTCACTTACATTTTGCCCAGACTACCTTAAATCCAACCAGCAACCCCGATAAGCCAGTAACCCCGCTTCATAGGTGTAAAGCAGGGCGCAGTAGGGGCATGCATACCCTGCAGATTCAGGGGCCCTAGCACTTTACAGGGGTCTCTGAATGCAGCAAATTATGCATAAAACTAGGCCCAAGGTGACATTTTGTCAGGGCCCCCAGAATATCTAGCTACATCACTGGGTGCAAACAAAGAATGCGGGACAATCCAAAGTCAAACATGAGAAATAAAGTAAGAGAAAACCAAAAGCCAGCCTAAATCTTAAAAATGAGAAAGAAGACTTTGGAACAAGGCAAGTATCTGGAGGGTTTAATTAGTCTCAGACAATATGCAATAAAATGCACAGGTGCATGTAATCAGAGTTGATTAGCATTGGGATGAGGGGAATTGTTGGTGATTCCCAGTGGGAGAATCTGCAGTCTTGAGAAGGCATGACAAATGATTACTGAAACATTTTTAGACATGTACTTCTTGGGTGGATAGATCCTCCTTCATGGCTTTTATGAAACCCAGTCCGAAGCTTTGGTTTTTGCAGGCCTGAGAAATACATGAGAGGAAGTTCTTATTGTTTTGTGTGTAGATTTTTCTTCATCTGCAGAAACAGTTAATCTGTGTTTATTTGTTCCATAGTATTTTACTGTTAGGTTTTTCCCTATAATCTCCCAAATGCATTGAAATAGGAACCCATTGATAAAAAGCTTTGAATAATGTTATAATATTTGTCTTCCTTTGCAATATCTGCAGCCCTGAGATCATGATATAACTACTTGCCCAGCTTTTATGCGTTATTTCACTATTCCGTTAAGTTGCACAGTAAACTGATAGCAGAGAGATCACTTTTCTTTTTTACTTGGCAGAACTTTAGTCTAATATATAGATATTGAAATCACTTACATAGTAATACCTAAGAATTAGCGTACAATGAAATCTTGGTTAAATATGTATAGTACGCATAGGGCCCTACACCCTAAAACTCATTTGACCAGAGGTGGACATTTCAGGTCCAGAAAGTAAAAATCCAAACCAGGATTTTGTTTCAACCAACCAGTTGAGTACTCTGTGACTGTGGCTCTTTATGCTCAACTGGTTGGTTGAAACAAAATCGTGGTTTGGATTTTTACTTTCTGGACCTGAAATGTCCACCTCTGCATTTGACAACAGCCAATCCCCTCCTAGGTAAAGACATGTGGGCAGGGTTGTATCAGCTTCTGTTGGGTTATGGGTAATCTCCTTAACACAGTGTTAGGAATTAAAGGCTTTGGCTTGTTTTGCAAGGTGAAGCCTGTGGGTTGTGATGTTCAGATTTTCATTTCTTATGACTTCTTGGATTGTTGCACTTTTGTTATTTCCTGTAAAACAGTTGGAGAGGCAAATTAGGACAAAGTTTTGAAGAGCATAAATATTTCAGATCAATGCCCATTGAAATCTATGGTAGAGAGAGTAGATTGCAAGTTGTTGGATGTTCGTAATTGGTGGACCTTTTACAATTACATTCTTAAGACTGTTGCTATATTAGCTAGTTGTCCATAGAGCATTGGTTCATTCATGATTATAACAGAAGAAAATATGAAGTTATTCAATCAATAGACTACAAACATACCTCAAAAAGAACCTCCTTCAGCTTCTCATACGCTTCGTCTAAATCATTATTAATGATGATTACATCAAATATTCCTGGTTCCTTACCTAAAAATTACAAGATGGCTGTAATTAATACAATTCCCAGAAATCATGCATGTATACTAAATCTCAAATATGTTTCAGCTTAAAAACAATACAACATAACTTAGCATAGTGTCTACAAGGAAAAGATTGTGCTGTAATTTAGAAAAAAAATAATAGCCTCACTGAGTTCCATGTCAATCCGAGCGGCTTCCAAACGCTTCTGTAGACTTTCTTCTGTTTCTGTGTGTCTGTCTCTGAGACGCTTTTCCTTTTACATATAAAAAAAAGAATATAGAAAAATATGTTACAATGTTACGGTATACTTACATGCTGCTTACAAATGTTCTATGAGTGCATTATGAAGGTGCGCTAAATGTTCCGTGAAAGCATCATTAAAGCGTTATGAAAGTGCAGGTAATCTAAATGAATGAATATTTAATACTGATATTAAGGAAAAATTCCTCATGGAATGCTTTCAACACCTTGCTGAATCCAAACACTTAATGAACTGAAGCCTCTTATGAATGAAATGTGACACAACATTAAGATGGTATCCCTAATGCTCTGTACATTCGCTGTTTTTGAAACTTCGAATGACGATTTAGGTGTTCATATTGGCATAAAAAATACTGATGTATCTTCTACACCCTGTATCAGGAATGGTAACATTGGTGCACTGGTTTAAAAGTTCACATTGCGATTGTCCTGATCAGAAAAGTGTGCACGGGATACAATGTAGGATAAACTCAAGACGCATCATTTCTAGCATCTTTGCATTGGTAAAAATCTGGTTTATTAATATGTAATTATTAGCAGAAACTCTTTACCTTTATTATTTAGCAATGTGACCAATAATTTTTGACCAGTGATTTTGTAGATTGATTCCCCCTCTGTAAACTGTTTCTCAAGAGCACGATCTCCATCCTGTACCACATTGAATTGCATAGCATCATACTCTTTTGCATAATGTTGTATCATGTTGAATTTGCATTGTGTTTAAGCAAAATGTGTTAAATCGCACTGATTTGCAATTGGGGTGAATTATATCATATTGCATTAGTAGTTGATTCATATGTATCTTAAATGTATCAGAATGTTGGCAGTACATGGAGTACATCCCTACCCTGTATATTTTAGATATTTCCAATAAAAAGAAAAACTTTTTATAAGTTTCTTAAGACATCAATAAGAGGCTTACAAGGATCTCCATAGATGGAGGCTGGATGGAGACATAGATAGGGTTGAGGTCAGTCTTCTTAATATTCTTCACACCTTGTATATCAACATCCAAAATGCATATAAGGTTCTGGGACTGAACATCTTCAACTGCAGATGTGCTGTTTGAAGAAATAGCACTTAGTTATACTGCTGAAGAAACATTTTTTTTCTCAACAAAGGGAGAGCTCTTCAACAAAATCAATTTGACTAATTACAAATCTACCAAAATTGTTGCAACAGGCCTTCGTCAATACTAGCAAATGTATTGCTTAGGCATTCTGATTCCGCAGAACCTTTGTGTTACATTACGTTTTGATGTTCCCAAAGCAGAGACACTCTTCAAGATGCCAATATCACTGAAACGGTAGGCTTCAGAAATTCATTGAAAGCACATATGCTATAGTTCACTTTTATGTACCTCACTTATTTTAAGTGGTATATGAACATGCATATGCAATGAAAAACAAAGACATTTGCATGTCAGTGTGGAAACCATTCAAATAGAGATTTTGAGTTATGTATATTTATAAATTGTACATCAATATTATTCTTGCATATTTAGTTACTTATCTCACTGCTTTTGATGAGTTTTGGGGAGCTATACAACAAGATGTTTCACTGGAGTAGTTAAGAAAAAAAAGTGACTCTTCAGTCTTAATGGGATTAGTTCATGGCCGCTGCTGTTTTTAGAGAAAGATCAGGATTCGTGCACAATTTACCTTGTTCCGTACATGTTTCCTGAGAACTCTGCATTCTCTATAAAATCGCCATTGTCGATTCCCTGCTGCATCGTCTCCTTGGTCACAAAATGGTAATCTTCATCCAAGAACAAATTGGGAGGAAAAAAATTGATGAATATTGAACAAACAGTACGTCAGCCCCCAAATCATCAAGGAATTATGTTGTTAAGAACGAGAGAATACCAATGTTAAAGCTTTATAAGGTTTCTTTATAATGCTCACCTCTGTAGAATGGAGGAATGGGGGTTTTAGATCTAAAGACGTCAAACTCATTGTGGGTTTCAGATTTATATCTCTTTGAGGGTTTGAATCATCATTTCTCTCATCATTACCACTATAGCAGTAAATACAACACCAGTGTAATGGCTCCTACATTTGACTTTGTGAATTACTTACTAAGAATACTGTAAATATAAGGGAAAAGAAAACAATGTACAGTACATTTCAAATTAAAATTTCCTTCAGCGTTTTAGCCATCGAACACTGAATTTAATTAGGAATAAATAATTAAATACAACTGTTCATTGTACCATTTTTCCTACCTGTAATACTGTGAAAACGCATTTGCCCTTTGTCTGGTTTAAATATCCCACTCAAGGACACACTAGTTCACCAAAGTCATCACATGACTGTAAGGAGGGCATGCTAACTCTACTGCTTAAACCTACAGTTGTGGTGTTGAGAGGTGGCAGTGTTACCTATTGATAGCCAGTGTCATGTAGAATTAATTTCATGTGAACAGCACAGCAGCTCTCCTAAGTATGGCACCGTGTAAAAACTTGTTCCTAGCTATGGCACTTCAGAAAATGTCTTTGTCTGATTTAAAGCATTTTTGGACATTTTTTAGGTCTTTCTGTGAGTTATGGAAGTATAGTAGTTGTACAGTAGTATACTACATTATACTAAAGTAGCAGAATCTGAGATTTGTTAAAAAAAATAATAATGTTATATTTATTTAGCCAGCACTCTTATCCAAAGTGACGTTCAACTGAGAAGGCTTCGTCAGCCAGTCTCTGGAACAATTAGGGGCTAAGGGCCTCGCTCAGGGAGCCAACGGTGAAATGATCCTTTCAACCTTGGGATTTGAACTGGCAACTTTTCAGTCACAGGCACAGCAGCCTAACTTGCAAAGCCATACACCCCCAAATTTATTATTATTATTACTAATGTAAAATGTAATACAACAGGGTGTATGTCATTCAGAAATAATACACGTCATGTCATTCAGTAATTCATTATATTCCCCAACAGGGGAAGCCTATGGTTTTGGTACTGGTTTACCACTGCCACTCGTATCTTTGGCACAATAACTCAAAAAGTGTTTTACAGATCTTTTTCAAACTAACAGACATGACGAATGCGTGAAGATCTGGAACTCATACAATTAGGAAAAGTTGGGCCAGCCACTCTCTGGAGCAACTGGATGCCAAACGGTGATATCAGTCTGCCATCCTCGAGATATGCATCTCCACGTCACAAATCCCTAAAGAGCCCAGATACACACTTCCCATCATAACAGTCAACCTAGACAATCCCCAGCTCCAGAGGCCTTATCCATTAATTAGACATGGTTATAACTGCCTAAAATTGTATTTGTAGAGTATAACAGTCAGTTAATTATACTAGTAATTAAACATACTGGTAGTTTGAAGATAATTCTGCTGTATCCGCCCCTGGATTATTTTTTGTCTTTGAAACTATTAATTCTGTTTTTGTCTTTAAAACTATTAATTAATTTTGGACCCTATTAATGGTCTGAAAAAAGCATCTCATGAACTCAAAAATGTTACTGAACTGAAAGAGTTCTATATGGAGTGCTTTATTTGTTAAAAGTGATGTTACTAGTAATTTAGTGTAAGTAGAAAGAGAGTATCAGTCTATTCCCTTTTATCTAATGATCAGTTTTAGTTGATGATATGAGTTGATGCAGTCACTTTTTTACATGAGTGATGGCATGACTATTTTTTTCTGTTTTGTGTTTTACATGTTCTATGGCTTATAATTTATACATCAAAAAATTTGTTGTTTGTTGTCAAGGAATTGATTCCTTCCTCAACATCCATCAGAAACTAACTACAGTCACTAAGAAACTGTATATATCACAGGACATCACAAAACTAGACTATATCACTGACAACAACTACAGTACAAAAAGGTTTTTAAACACCTAAACATGCTCATTAGCAATACAACATATTTGTATGTATGTGTACCAAAATAAATTTGTCCAATGCTAATAGACCCTTTAGTTTCATCTTTTTTTAAAGGTACCATTTACATATCAAGTTATGCTGAACAATATAGCCTTGACCTCAAAAGGGTATTGTTTCCAAATTTTCTTTAGATAATTTTAAAATATTGATAAGTTGTACTTAAGTGTGTACGAAAAACAAAATCTGAAAGTAAAGTATCGATCCAGGCTCCCTGAAACCTTGTACTGGATGGGTGAGTCTAAAAATATTCAGCTCTATCTAATTTTATTCTTATTACCACAACTATGTGAATGTGGCGTTATCTACGAAATTGTAGCATAGTAGCATATTATAAGTTGTGGTAAAAAAACTTGCATCGATCAAATACGGCACAAAATAGTTTCCTCAGGCATAATGCAATAACTATTGTCTTTGATTTTATGAGGAACCATTCTGTCAAATCTTTCACTTTTTAAGGATAATAATGTAGTTGAATACCCTAACCCAAGTGAATGTAATATAGACGCTTTGATTAGCATATCATGTATTATACTCAGTTATTGATTTCCTCTACTTTATTTAAATAATGGGAAAAGTTTTACCAAAGCAGTGGCTTAACAAAGTCCATGATTTTCTGTGTTCAACATTCTTCTTTTGCACACAATGACATATAGTTAATGCTATGATACTGTACTGTATGAGCTGAAATCACAGGTAACATAAGGTGATATTGAATCACCATCACTCTTGATATATTGATAAATGGTTAATTTTCCCTATTTCTCCTCTTACCTGCCTCACATTTTAATATGTAATCATGATCTAAATACTTGCATTATCATTTTTAATGAAGACAGATTATATATTACAGGCATTGCTGGTTTAACAGGACATTCTGGCAGCTCACTGCTTTGCACTGCAGCCTCACACCCCCAGGGTTGTGGGTTTGTCTCCCACCACTGGCAGTATGTGTGTATTCATGCGATTTTCTGCAGTCCAAATGGAATCTCAAGAGTTGGTGTCTCTACAGTGGCATTGTGAGTGTGTGCCTTGTGATGGACTGGCATCCCATCCAGGGTGCCCACTGGCCTGTACTTCCTGGGATAGACTCCAGACTCACCACTACCCTGTACTGGATACATGGTTATGGAAAACAGATGGATGTTCTTTGGCCTTAGTACCTGCTTTTAGCAAATATGCCCCCCAAAAAATTTAAACAGGAAGTACACAGGTGGGCATTTCCTGTCCTTGACCTCAACAGGTTTCTTTATTTTAATGTCACCATTCCTCTGTATTTGTCTTTGAATTGAAATATTTTGAAAAACCAAACTTTGTCCTTTGATGGCTAATAGATATCGCTGGTATATAATATAAAAATATAGATGTTTTACTATGAAGACTTTAAAATGGCACTGGGCAAGTTGTAATGCTAATGGCTAGTGTGATCAAACACAATACAAAACAAGCAAAACCAGGTTATAATATTTTCATCTAAATGTGTATTTAACAACTCATGTTTTAATGTATACAAAATAATAATTCAGTAGGACACGTCACATCAAACATGGATGTACACCTTCAGATGATACTGGTAGGACGTCTGCTACAGGCAGTAATGTTGGCCCAAGAAGCAAGGGGAGGTAATTCAAGCCTATGGGGAGAACAGCAAAAAAATATGAAAAATTGAAGTTTATCCCAAGAATATAGTTTGAGGTTTGTGAAGTGAAGTCATGCACTTTACAGTGGGCCTAGAATCACTGCGAAGGACATCAAATAGCAATTAAAAGAAAGTTTGTGCTAAACTTACACTTGATTTTCAACCTGGTGTTTATCAGAATCATTGCTTCACTCTGGTATGGTATCCTTATGTTGGTGAAAAAGCTGTCACTCAGTCTAACATGTATAATAACAGTCCTGCCTTGTGTTCTTTCCTGAATGGAGCAAGGTACTATTAAGGTGAGGCTTATTTTTGTTTAAAACCAATACATAAAGTTTAAAATGTGGGAGAAACGTTGATCTATGAAGAAATGATCCTATTAAATATGAAAATTTTTGATTCACGTATACTCATGTTATACTGCTAATTCCTATTAGCAATCAGCATTTAGCATAGTTATATGTTCAAGAACTCTTAAAGAAGCAGTTAACAAACAATTGCTTTTACAATAAGTCAGTGCAAAAGGAAAAACACAGCCGTATACAGTATCAAAATTATATCAGACAGGTTAATAGTGACATACTATAAATATTCATGCACTGTAAGGTAAAAAGTAGGCTTATTAGTTACTGACAATGGGACCTTACCATGCAGTTATAATGAATATGGAAAGATAGGGGAAATGTGGGAGAAATGTTGACCTAAATATCTGTGAGGAAATGATTCTACTAAATATTAAAACACACATAAACACATGAAGCTCATGCAAGCAGCTTACAATATTTCCTCCATATCCACTTCATACTACTGGGTTTTACTCATTTACCTCCACCAACAATATCTTCTGGTATCTTTTATCTGTATGATGTATCTGTGCAAAATCTGTGTTTATCTCTGTCCAGGAAAATCTCTTTCTCTTATTGTACTCTATTATCAATGACTTATGTACTTCATGAAACTTCTTTTTAATATTTGATGTTGAAACTTCTAGCCCAGTGTTTCCCAATCTGGTCCTCGGGGACCCACAGATGGTGTTTTTGCTCCCTCACAGACAGCCCACATATTTGCTTCCTCAGGGAGCAAAAATGTGGACTGTCTGCAGGTCCCCAAGGACTGGGTTGGGAAATACTGATCTAGTAGATTTCAGCTGAGCTTCTGTTTTCCGGCTCAGTTAAATGCCAGACCTGTGACTCTGATGAACTTATTTTCTGATTCTGCGGAGAAACACCTTCATGGGTGATAGGATCTTCAAACCATTTGATAGTCTCAGTCACAGTACAGAATTCATAGGCACTTACAAAATTCTTGCAGTTTGCCCTAAATATGCTAGTTAACTAGCTATAGAAAGACATTTCAGCAATGAGGCTAGTTTCAGACATCAGTCTGACACTGTTGTCCCCCTATTTCGGGGACAATTTCATTGCCATTCATATAGCTTACTTGGGGTTAATTCAATGCATCATACCCAGCAGACTGTCCTGAGTAAAGAAATATGGACCATGGCAGTAACATAACAAGGATACAGAGAAAACGTAGATCTTGATACGTACACAGATCATGTATGTACATAATGCTGGGTAGGAAAGAGCATAGGGGGTAGATACTGAGAGGATGCATATAATGCTGTAATATACTGTGTAAGGTATATAGTAATACAGGAAATAAATGATTTTAGGTATTTTGTAATAAGACAGAGACAATAGTTCAGAGGAATTGTAGCCATGGTCAAAATATTCTGCTTTCCATGGGTTTTAATGTTGTGGACTTTCATGAATAAGGCTGTACCTAACAGGAATGCATCAACAAGTAAATATTTTAGATATCTTTCATTGCCTTCATTTTTTAGCCACAGAAAACTAAATCTACCCAAACATTCTCCATTCAGCTGGTCCTGCAATGTCCTTCAAGCCCACAGGAATGTTCTTGTGTTGAGTTTTTTTTTTTTTTTGTAACCATGCCGTGCGGGCCCATCGCCCACTCGGAGCCCATATCAAAGACAGTTCAACAATGAGGCCAGTTTCAGACATCAATTTCACACTGTTGTCGACCTGATTCAGGGACAATTTCATTGCCATTCACAAAGCTCGCTTGGGGAGAATTCAAGTGATAACTTACAGTTGTAAAAATTTTATCTTGCTATCATTTTCACAGTTAATATATCATATAATGTTATATTAAGAGTTAATAGACATAATTCTGGAAAAAACCTGATAGTCTTCTGACTAGTATTGCATATGTGAGTGCTGATATTTGAATAACTGGATATTAATGGAAGTTCATTTCAGCAAACTTAATGAAAATGGTTAAGCAATTAGTTTAAATATCAAATGCTGGAGAACAACAAGATGAAGAATAAAGATCAAAATAACCTGGGGTAGTAAACTTCTAACAACTTTCACGTCTGATCAGTTAAAACTGAATTTTATGCCGTTCTTGAAAACTCTTACATAAAAACTCTTAATTATAAAACATATACATTAGAAATAAGCTATATCATGTACCATGATATACACATATACTACTTAGCTATGACACAGTTTTCCGATGAGACTCATATTTTTGTACAGGTCTGGGATCATCAGAGTTATGGAATTGCTTTCCCACAGATATTAGTCTACTAAATATTTGTGTAAAACCATTACATCATGTTAATACTACAAAAAAGCTTTTTTTGCCCTCCATCCCAAGGTCCTGCTGAACGAGAATCTTAAAAGTTTCATTTTCTAGACATCACAGATTAATGAAAGTGGTTGCGGTGTAATGTTGTGTTAACTGGATAAAAACCATGAAATCTTCCAAAACTCATTGACTGAAATGTTTACCTAATCATGATATGTGTGCATGTGTAGGAGTAGAATATTTTGTTACAACAGCAAATTTCTACCTTTGCCATCTTCCTCTCCAAGTCGTGGACTTCTCGTTGTATCTAAAATAAAAGAAAAAGAATTATAATATTTTTTTTTTTATCAGTCCTGTCTATCATTTTATAATTGCCAGAACATTTAATGCAGCAGCAGTTGTGGCAGTTCTTAAACCAAAGGAAGGAATCAGGGGAGTCTATGCATTTTTTTTATTATAAATTGTTGCTAACCAAAGGTCAGCTATGTGTCTTTAATGCAAAAAAAACTTAAATAAAACTTAAAGTTGAGACTGTAAAAGCCTTCTGGTAGAAGTAGATCTACTATAGCTTGCAAAAGTGATATGTATAGATCATTCTAGAATTCAGTTAAGGAGACGCCTGGGTTACCATAATGTAAATTAATGCTTTAACCCCCCCCCCCCCCCATTCACCTCAATGCTTATGAACACCTCAGAAGTACATGGACCCAAAGGTTGGCAACTGTTTGCAAATTTACGGACAGTGCGTATTAAATTCACCCTGTACATAAATAAAAAAATTAATCTGACTGTCCGTAAAACCTAAAAAACTAGGGTGCCAGTAAAAATATGGCATGTCGGTAAAAATGAGAGTCTTGTCAATAACATCAGAAATTCAAGGTTGACAGTCCTGCTGGACCCTAACAGCATTCGCCCTCCAGGTCTTTACGTACGTGAAACAGTAAATCCAAAGACGCCCTCATAGTCCCTGAGGAGTCTCTTCAGCAGAGTGCTCTTCCCAGCTCCAGAAGGTCCACTTAGCACCACAGGCCTTGGTCCTGACATCTCCTGTTAACGTGCAGTAGGACAGCAATTATTCAATGAATTGATACAGGATATTATGAAATTTAAACACGGCTTCATATCAACCTACAAAGAATGATCACGCACGCACACATACACACACACACACACACACACACACGCACACACACACACACACACACAAACACACAAAAGGTTGCATTATATTGTCCCCTGGAAATGATCTACAGTATAAGTGGCAAGTCAGATTTGAATTTGCATATATGGATCTGTGCAATACACAAAGAATTTTAGAAACTGTCAAGTGAGTTTACAGTATGTACATATCGTTCAACTCAGAAAACATCTTAATGGAGTCAAATAAGATAAATTAATGGGATTAACTAGACCTTAATGACCATGACCTAGTCCACTACTGGACTTCAGTACTTCAGGACCACATTTTCAGCCAGTGGCCATTTTCGCATTTTTGCATCTGCTTAGTAATGCTAACAACCTGCTCTTCCATACAGCAAATAATGTGGCTGCAAATTAATACATAGATCAGACAGATAAGGTCAAGAGTTTCCACTGCTGTGTGGCTCAACATCACAATAGCTAAGATACATGATCTGTGCTTGAATGTGGAGATATTGGTGGTGTCTGATGTGGCATCTCAGCCACCCTGCCGGCCTTTTTCTCACTAAAGTGTCTAAAGCTCACAGAGAATGATGGCATGAACAAAAATCATCCGGTCGATGGCAATTCTGTAGCTGAAAACAACTCGTTAATGAGAGAGGTCAGAGGAGAATGGCCAGACTCTAATCAAGCAGGAAAGCCTCAAGTGAGAAACAACAGTGCATAAGAACATAAGAACATAAGAACAGTGCTGTGCAGAAAGTCTTCTCTGAACACACTGCTCATCTACCCTTGAAGCCGTATCTGTTTTAAAATATCACAAGTCATTAGGCTGCGGAATCTCTTTTCACATTGCATTGCTCAGTCACTGATATTCTGTCAAACACATATGACCCAGTCAGATCCTGGATCAGTACTGAGGTTGGACGTCTACTTAGATTTAGAGTAATCCACTGATGGAATAACTATCCGCACAAGCATGCTGAGTCCCAGCTACATGATCTATATGAACAACAAATTTATTCTGCATTATTTCTGAGCATCATGTTTATAACTGTCTTAACATTAAACAGGTTTTACCATTTAATTTGTTTATATTTACCAAAGATATATACCAGTACAAACAGCCTAAATTTTGTACTCTAAACTCTAATTATCCGGAACATAACAACACTGAAAATTAAACTCATACAGGATCATCTAATATAATCAAATACGACTTAGTGCATTTTACAGAAGCTGGAATATATAATATGGAACCAATTTCAGGTTATACATATGAGGATGGAACCAAAATCAAACACACCATTTCAATATCTTCAGTGTCTTTACATGCTAATTTCTATCAGCGTAAAAATGATCCATGCTGTACTTGGAGTTAATCGTAAAGTTGTTGAATCATATTTTTTTTATCATAGTATAAAAGGTCTTTTGCTACTCAGATCATTTCAACAGAAATTATTCCATTAAACGAAAATATTTACATTACCAAATATTAAAATGTGTAAATAAAATATTTTCAGAAACAATTAAAAATAAGAACATTACAGCATCAAGTTATCGAGCACAATATTCAATTTAATTCAGACCCTAGATAACTCTGAATACTGCAAATTTGTAATCACAGGTCTATTATCATTTTTCTTACCTTGTTCTGAATGGCAAATGGAAGTTTGCGTGTGTATAGCGTAGCTGCTCTAAAATGTGAATGCTTTGCTAAGTTTGACAGTTCACTATGCTTAGAATAGTCGTGACCTCCGCCTGTCATCTCAGCCAATTAGCATCCTGCAGGTCTGCTTGGGTAATCTGTGATAAGTTTAAGGTTTTCTGCATAAGCTCCTTCACCAAGCTTACATTCTATACCATTATTTTTTAAATGTTAAATTCCTGTTTATTTGACCTAATTTATATATAATATAACATTTATCTTATCTTATTATTTAAATAAGTTGTCATGCTTAAATTTACATTTAAATTCATTCTAGAAAAAAAATCTGCTTAATTGTAAGTCAGTAAACCTTGTACATTAAACATTTTTATATGCATGTAGAAATGTCTGCTGCAGACCATTAGAGTTTTGTGTAATGTTTACTGACAACCAGAAGGTAATGGTATTAATTTTGTGTATATGTGTATAGCCACACACGCACTCACTCACACACAGACCTGTACTCATATCTTTGTGGGGACCGTCCATTCATTTCTATGGGCAAAACCCTAATCCCAACAATGACAACCTTAACCCCTACCCAGCCCCAACCATAACCATAAGTACCCATAACCAAACAAAATACACGTTTTCTGGCATTTTTAGTTTTTTGACTGCATTTTTATAAGATTGAATTTCCCCTTGTGGGGACTGAAAAAATGGCCCCCAGAAAGTCAAAGTAACGTGATGTCCCCACAATGTAATGTGTATCTAACCCACACACACATATACATACACACACACAAACACTTATGTATATATAGACGTGTATATAGAAGATCTGGGTCGTGAAGGAGGGTCCTAAAGGAGCTAATTTTCAGGAAACAGACCTAATGTTTTACCTAATAACCATTGTCTGTATCTGGAATATTCACTTCCAATACAGTAGCCTTGAGGTTTTCTTGTGGAGCAATAACATAAGCCGCTTGCTGGTGAACAGGAATAAAATAGCTCAGAAAGAGGATTACAAATGCGTAAGATATGAAGGTCTGCTGCCTAGTGCTGCTCAGAAGGTGAGCCTTTGGTTACCCCAGGCTGGGACTTTTGAACTGTCAAATCAGTACTGGCTGAATGTTTGCTCCAGCATGTGAAAATAGTTGTTTATTTAACAGCCATCTTTGAATTGGATTGAGTCAGTTCAGTGCCTTGGTATTTCCATCCATCCATCCGTCCGTCCTTTCACCAGCTTGTCCTGAAGAGGAGGAACTGGAGCAGACACTGGATGGCATAGCAGTGACTTGGTGTTTAATTTTCTTAAATTATTCCCAGTTTTATAAAAGTAGTGTTTGCTATACTAAATAAGTAGCTATAATATCAACATATATACATTTACTGTGGCAATAAGCACTCATTGAACTGTTATTAAAGAGTTGTTAAAGTGTTATTAACTGAATACTATACATTATGCAATCCAAATTTTCCCTGGATAATGTTTATCTGTACAAGCAGTTTAAAACTAGAACTAGAAAAGACATGTGAGTACTAAATTAAAATAAATTTATTCACGTCTGATGTTGATAATGATTCAACAGTTTTGCAGAATATATTAAATAAAAGGTTCTTGGTTGGACAGTGAACAAAATCATGTGATATAAGATGAATGAGTGATTCATTAATTTATTTAGTTCTGTTTTTAGTGAAGCACGGTTGGAATGGGAATCAACATAATTAAAAAATGTTTGATTTGGTGAATAAAGTATAAAAGAATAAAACCAAATTCATTTTGTGTGCTTTAGGGTTTAAAAATGATTCAAATCCCATAGAAGGCAGAGTGTAATGTAATAGAAAAACAGGGCAAGCTGCAGCTATGGACGTCAGGCCTGTCGATGCTACTGTGTTACTATAGGGCAGCCAACACAAAACACATCAATACTGAGGAACAAATGGAACCAATCAAAAGGCTTGGCCGCTTAACTATCTCTCCCAAGAAGCCCCACCCCCCAATGACATGAGTCTTGATGGTGTGCATTTTTAAGTCATTGTGATTTAAACATTTTTAAGGAGTATAATGGGATATACACACTGAAAATCAATAACAAACACCACCGGATGAAAAGCATTGTACTAACTGCCAGCTTACATTACCTCAAACAATACGTCTGTTAGAAGAGCTACAGAGAACCAGAATAAAGGTGTGACAAGAGCTTTTTGGATCAGTTCTCAGGGAGCACTTCTGCAGCCCCAAGCAACTATTAACTCCTTGCTAAAGCTGTCTAACTAAATAACTTATGCAATATGTCAAAGAGAGAGGATTATAAGTGCATGCTTAGAGTGTGTATATTTATGAGTCCATATTTTGGACTGTAAAATAAAAAGCTAATAATTAACCAACTGGAAGATAGATAACATTAATCTGCAGCCAACTACCAGAATTAGCATAATCAAAAATCATATGCGTTTATTTTGCAGATGCTTTTATCCAAAGTGATATACAATTGAGAAAGCAGTGTCAGCCAATCCCTGGTGCAATTGGTGGTTAAGGGCCTTTGCTCAGGGGCCCAACAGTGAAATACCTCTGCGATTTGAACAGGTGACCTTCTGATCATGGACAGACAGTCCTAACCTGTTGAGCCACCATAATAAATAACCACCGCAGTAATAATCAACACAGATATGTGGCACATTTTTTCAGTAACCTAGCTGTAAGAACAGGTGTCATGATTCCGCTCATCTGTAGTCATTTAATAATATAAATGATATACAACTGTGTAGTGAGGGCTAGCAGGGAGATAGCAACAGTTCTGGTTCATCTTCTAATGTTTAGTCTGTTGTCATTTTCATGATGGTTGGTCCTTTGTTAAAGCAGTTCTATCTCCACAAAGTTGGTTAAATCAGAATAGATTCAATAAGATCCCCCAGTTCCCTCCTCCAATGTCCATCTTTCAAGGATCTGTTCACTGTCCTAGTATAACCATATTTTATAGTGGAGCTAATCTCCAGGAGCAGATCCATTGTAATGCATGCTTAGAGAGTTTTGCCTTTGATCTGAGTCCCCCATTGCCTGACTGCCCAGTAGTGTAGACTTTTGGGGGCAGTGGCTGAACTATGTGGTCACCTACCCAGACACCTGGAATCCTTCCCAATCCCACTCAAAGTCATCTATGTACTGAAAAGGTGGTTGAAGCCATCAGGGCCATCTCTGGTTTCCAACCTGGTTTCAAAGCACTTTCTGACCACCCTGGAAAAGAAGGTTGAA